GGATCATCTCGATTTCGAACCATTCGACAGTACTCCAAAATAGAACTGAACGATTGCTTCAATACCTGAGCACTTGGCGGGCTCAGCTTCACTATGCACAATGGTGATGTACAACCGTGCGATCGAGCTATTTTGTCAAAAAAAACATGTAAGACACTCGCATATAATGCTGACATATTTGCAAAACTCCGGACCGCAGGTGTATGCGGTGGGGAACGAACGCCTCATTGTCCTTACCGGGGAGTAGCGCACTTCACCACCACACCATCCGGGTCCTTCGTTTTCTCAGCATTATATACGAGTTATATTTCGCAACATACCCTGCCATTAAAAAGAAAAAGGCAGTAAATAAAAGGGTTAAGATTGTGATTATAACTAACTCTCAGCTTAACTGGGTTCAACGCCGATTTGTGCTCCCCCGATCAATCCCGTTGACGGATGATTGCTGATGGCAAAAGATCGATAGAACTAGCTGAGAGACAGGCAAAACGAAGGACCCGGATGGTGTGGTGGTGAAGTGCGTTACTCTCTGATAAGGACAATAGCGTGTTCGTTCCCCACCGCATACACCTGCGGTCCGGAGTTTTGCAAATATCTCAGCATTATATAAGAGTTGTATTTTGCAACATACCCTGCCATTTAAAAAAAGGCAGTAAATAAAAGCGCTAAGAATGTAAGGCACTATTACATGACTCAGTATGCATGACACATCAACTGTTTTTAACGGCTGGTCACAGTGGCAGAGGTGGTAGCCAATGGAGCATAAACTTCTTCACGCAATTCAATAGAAGGAGTGCGCGAAATACAAAAGAGTTGTATATGGCAATGTTCGCCACTACAGTAATCTGGGTCGGAATAGCAATTAATTTCTTGTACTACACACATTGAAAACATCTTCAAAAACTGGAATATTTCAAAGTGGACCACGACGTATGTGAACTAGGAAAAAAGCCAGAGTAAAGACGTCAGTAAATATATGGGCAATGGCCACTAAATTCAAACCAATATAGGGAGATTACAAAACTAATCGGTTTCTGTGGACAGTCAACAGAGAAGAACACTAGAGCGAGCTGTACTTTGTAAAGCCTACACTCGACGACAGCAGATACTACAGATGCGGGACGGCAGTTCTATCGGAAGATATTTGGAAGAAGAAACAAGTCGTAAATGCATATTACGACACAGAAACCTGATAAACAGAAGCGAAAAGGGAAAACTAGGACACTTGCTTTGGAAATTCAGCACAGTTGTTCTCGGTGAAAATGTCACAATAAATCCAATGTGCAGAGCAGATAACTTGCTAGGTTCGCGCAGCTCTAAAGTTCCGTTCAGCTTGAGTTTGATATTTTTCACCTGCGGTGCACGTCAGAGATCGAAGCTGTCCCGCTTTCAAAACTTGGACGACGACATCTCAACTCGACGGACTGAATGAGGCACATATGAGTTGCAAAAATAGCAAACAAGTGTTAGAAGGTCTCCATAAGATAAGAAAAATCACTTACGCATTACAAGATCAGGTTTTTTAAAAATTCTGTACTATAAGAGATTCCAGACCATAGCGAGCTTATTGGTCAGACAAGCATCTCACATCGACCACATGACAAGCCAACTTTTTGATCCGTAAGTTTTCACATCAACTTTTAGACTGCTTTGATCACAAAGCAAGACGAAACACAGTGGCCTCTGCGCTAAAGCAGAATCAGTGGGACGGTAGAATTCATTCCTTTTAATGATAATGCCCTCAGTGAGCCAAACATTGCAGAAGGAACTGCGAAATTCAAGTCTCTTAAAAGAAAGTTGGAGAACCAGAGGATACCACGTCATCTATGACAAACTTTTAAATGTAGGTAGAATCGGAAAACATCGTCAAAGAAATAAAGGTTACCAGGTACTGGGTACTTTCAAGCCAAATACAGTTTCCTTTATGTCTGGCCCCTATATGTTCTTAGACCGTCACAGTTCCTCAGTTTTTTTTACAGAAGAAGTAAACTGAAAGCTTCCCTACTTCACCAGAGAAAACGAAGAAACAATATGCACAGCGATTAGAATTAAAATCACCAACACTCGAAGGTGTGGTCGACTTCCAAGGTCGAACGACGGACATCAGCTCCTTCCATGACGATCGTTTCAGAACCTGAAAAGCTCGAAGCATTCATTAAAAAGCCTAGTGAAACCAGCAACTTATGCACGTCATAAGGGGATCGACGCATAAAGCTGGCAAACTATAACACCTAACATTTTCTAGGGTCAAGAACGGAAAAAATTACAACTCTCCAATACCATTAGAACTTAATGCATCAAAAACTGAGTAAAAAAGTAGAAGATAAAGTAAACACTATAAAAATTAGCGTTCTATGTGGGTGGACAACTGATGCATTCCGAGATGTGAATACAGGAAGACTGAGTTGACAATAACTCGCTGTCTCTTTCACCGCAATCTTCTTACGCATCTTAGGGCTGGCTCAGAGAAATTCCACGCTTGTTTGTCACCAACACTGCTACAATAATTAGGATAAAGGTCCCGTTCATAACCAGTACAACCGAGTAAAACCCAATGAATAAATGTGGAGTACACAGTGAAGTGTGAAGGATTTCGAAATATTCCAATTGGCGCCAGTAAACAAACAGCGATGCATTGGAACGCGTTTACAGTGGCGAGGAACTATTCGGTTGACAAACGCCTAAAATAAATAAAAACAAGGAACTAGAAAAAGGAAAAAAGGAAGAAAACGATGTCGAGTCGTGATCGAGTCATGATCGTGAACGATCGACCTTTCCATTCGTCGAGTGATCAAACTAAGATTCAATGGCTATAATTGCGCGATACCACTTTCCCCTCCAAGGAATTCCATCATCACTAACAATTTCGAATGCTGAAAGGTGAGTGCTAAGGGGTAAAATAATCCTTATGATCAAAGGTGAAACACTCAGATATTCTGGCAGAATAGGACTCCAGGTCTACTATAACAATGTAGGGCGCAAATGAGGAAAGGAGGCTTAAATGGGCGTAGATAAGAGAGTTAAGATTGTGATTATAACTAAGCCTCAGCTTAACTGGGTTCAATGCCGATATTGGCTCCCCAGATCAACCCCGTTGACGGGTGATTGCTGATGGCAAAAAAGATCGATAGAACTAGTTGAGATACACGCAAACCGAAGGACCCGGATGGTGTAGTGGTGAAGTGCGCTGCTCCCCGGTAAGGACAACAGCACGTGTTCGTTCTCCATTGCATACACCTGTGGTCCGGAGTTTTGCAAATATCTCAGCATTTCATATAAGAAGGCTTAAATTCAACCACAATGAAAAGGGCACAAACTGTGAGCTAGCAAGTCGTCTACCGTGTATGCTTTAAGGGCTTACACTAATGTGACATAAAACTCTAATTTGCATCATTTTTTTTCAACATTGGCTGGGTTTCAATCAATGCAAATCAGAGTTTTATACCGGTGAACAGTTGTTCAGCACTGAAATTTGAACATAGAAAGGACGAAACGACAATAACTCGCGGCCTCCTTCACGTCAATGTTTCAAGGTATCTTAGAGCTGGCTCGGAGTGTTCGCTGTCATTCTTTTCAAAGTGGCCTCTCTCCTTTTCCTTCCCTTGAAACTATGGACATTACGAAAAAAACACGAGAAAGCATTCCAATGTGGCAGTTATAGAAAAGTTAACTGTAACCATCTTAAATCCAACAAAACGAGAGAAACGGAAACATTCGCAAGCAAATGCACTCTCTTTGCATTTACTTGATATCTTGACGATTCAGTTGTGATCTAGCCCTTGGCCCTTATACTGAGAAACAACACAACATAAAGCATAGCTATCTAAATACCTGGAACTATAGCATCCACCTGCGTCCAATCTATATTCGACCATGAATGATCACACTGGATCGATGTAGATTCAACGAAACAGAATGGGTAGAACCCAAGTGGAATGGTGAAAAGCCATCGTCAGTCAGCAATTTCAAGACAAAGACACTGTGCGAGAGTTAGTGAAAAAATATAACCCCTTACAACATGTTTTCGTGAAATGGTGCATCGGGAAAAACAGAAATGCTGACCACAGACGAGGTTTTCAAATATAGTTGTTGTACAACAGAGTTCTTCAAGTGCTCAAACTACCTGATTCGAATGTATCTATAGAGACCGTTACGAACGACGAAAGCGAGCCGATGACGATGAAGCTCAGCATACATTGTCATGAATTCAAGTTCAACTCCAAGTTCCCGGATCCAATGAGTGCTTGACTGCGAAATGTACCTGAACTCCAGTGACGGCATTGTAGCTGGTATATCACGGAAAGAGAATCACAAGGAACCAAAAAGCCTTCGATCTACGAGTAGAGACATAAGACGCATTTTTATTAGCACAACGAATTCACGAATGTTTAAAAGGGAAAATTCTCTTCAATGAAGATGAAGACAAGAGAACAGTACAATCACTACACACGAATGCTTAACAACGAATGATAGCGCTATTTTCGAAACAACATCATACAAACAAACGGTTCTCAGAAGAGATATTCTGAATGTTCAAAAACTAATACAAAAATAACGAAGAAATATATAATTTAACTAGTACTTAGGCACCGAAGTACAGATCATTCCAGGCTTTCGAACAACGGGACGAAAAAATTAAGAGGAAAAAAGCAAAAAAGCATTCTTAGGAGAGAACAACATAACACTACGCTTGAGCAATATAAAAAATCACATCAAACACGAGGAACAGAAACAGATACAAACGAAAATAGTGGTATTGTACGTTCTACATCAGGAGTGAACGGCCATGTACATTTACTCGTCAGATACATCCTGAGCAGCGGATCGCTCCTCTCTTGGTTGCACCGTTTCCTTCAAAACTCCAGTCAACAGTAGGATTTGCAAAATTTCTACAGTTTTCGAAAATGGTGTGAAGCATAGAGAATGAACAAAAAATATGCCTTAAAAGTCCTAAGTGACTTTGTAATCAATACGTCAAAATAACTTCTAGATCACCTCGGATGGGTCAGACCGCTCGCCATACTGACGTTTTCGTGCTCTGATCATGAACGACCGCGTACGATCATTGAGATGTCCAACCAGGTCGACTTTGTATTCATAACCTGAAGCAAAGTAAACTAGACGTGGCAATAGTGCTAATGATGACCAGCACGCATAGACAAGAAACGCGTAGTCATCTACGGAGCAACCAACTACTGTGTAACCGGCAAGAAGTCATCGCGAGAAAGGTGAAGCAGTTAACAACGGAACAAATCGGATCGCTTTCTCCACCTTTCCAAAAAATAGCGAGTTCTCGTAAACATTCAAGGCCACTACTGCATCAGCCTTCAGCCAGATCAAAATTCGACATGTCGAAAACAATTTGGCATATTTGCAAAGTGCACGGATTTCAATTCGCACATGGTGGGGCATTTTCAACAACATGTCCTGATTTCGAACGACTTTCTCCACAAATATTTCATTCGTTCTACAAGTTTTTTGGAATATTTCTTATGTTAAACCGAGCACTTCTATTCTACACATATTTAGGACGGCAGAGCTCAAGAAGAGTTGTTTTCTACGAATTATAATTTATCGAAAACATAGTAAACGACAAAGTTTCCCGCGTCGATCAACACCCGGAGAATACGCTATGCAATGAACTTCCTTAAGCGCCGCTATAGAAGACTGAAGGCATATCTGGCACTGACTTGTAGTGGTCTACCGATGTATCAAATCAATTATGCCCTACTCGTTACAGGACGGCTCAGAGGAAGATGAAATAGCCGGAACGTCAGCCATCAGCCAACAACACCAACAACAACTACAACGACAACAACGGCGACAACGAAAACCTATGCCAATCTCGGATCCGCTCAACAAGATCAGTTTATAAGACCATATAAAAATATGTCAAATAAATCACTGCTTCATTCCGAGACAAGTCTGGTTGCAATTTGCTGACTTCGAAGGGACGGAACGCTTGGCAAGGACAGGGCGCAGGATCAAACCAAATACGTGCCCACTGTGGAACATCTCTAACTACTAAGCTGAAAGTTTCGTCACTGGAACGGCTTTATCGGAGAGTCACAGAACGACTACCTGCCTTTTATATCGACAAGGTGATATAGAAACAATGCCAAACTAAAGTTACTGAAACTGTCTCCAGAATATTACTACGCTTTGTGCTAGCTGATAATACACCGACCTCTGCACGATGTGCGTAATGATGTATGTCCGGAAGAAATACAAGTTGTTACCACCGGACATTGTCATTATATATCCACCATCAGCATCGTGTATAAAAGGGCATCACTGAGTGAGGATGCCTCATTCGAGAAGATGGCTCACTGAAGAAGATCTGGCTCGACACGAAGGCGAAGACGCAACGTCGAGACGAACAACAAGCACGGACCATCGACTCGGATCACCGGCTCTGAGGAAGACGAAGACGTCGAAACGTTAGCCGAAAATAAATATATTTATCAACCTCGTGCAAGCTTATCAAGAAAGAATACATATGTCTCCAGACTGTTCTGCAAAAATACATGAGCATTGCCAAGAATCCCTTGCTTATTGCACAGAATAAAAAACTATTGATAATGATTGAAGTGATAAGGCGTTCTTACTCTGAGGATATTCCCATCCACGTGTATTAAGTTTCGTGCGCATCAAATGTGTTGAAAATTCAGGAGACGCTACACGTAACGACTAATGAAAAACTCGCCGTAAACGTGAATAGCTTTAGCGTCGGCTGCGAAAATTTTAAGCCCTCCTGAGCTACCTTTCCATTTTAACTTCCTCTGTAACCACTCATCTAAGAAACATACATTGGAGCGTAGCCCCTAACAAACGATAGATGGAAATTATAGTCACTGGTAGCAGTGGGAAGCAAAGGCCACTTTCCTGAGTTTGTCTCCGTGCTGTATGGAACACAATTATTGGAACGCCCCACATGGAGGAATTTTGAACAATCTTTCTTACAATTACAGTAACAAATAGCAATTCTAATCTTCGAAATAATGTTAAACAACCTCTAGGTGGCGAGTGCTTTTCTCGATCTTCCGCCTTGCAATACCAGCACTTCGAGCACACTTTGCGTGCAGCCGCAGACAATCCATGATAAACGAATTGTTTTTTGAAAAGAAGGCACCTAAAGTATACTCAAATATTTTCAACTACGGCCTGTTCATGACCAAAGTTACGCGTTGGGAAAAAATTTGGTTGAAATCACCGAAATAAAAGTGGTGTCAGAACAAAACGCACAAATCGGAGGGAGCACAATGCGCGAAAGCCACGTGCAGCCTCTGCAAGACGTCCTTCATTTCCGCAGCACTCCTTAATTTGTACTTGGTGCCGGTCGGTACTACAGGTGATATCACTTCCCTAGCTCTGAAGAGAAATCAAGTCCAAAAAACACTTAGAGTGGAAAAAGAAGAACAACTTCGAAGTTTAGTCATAACTTCTTTACTGGTCAAAATCATCTCTTAGAGAACCTGACAGAACCGAGGCAAACACACCTTCGGGGTTGGACACTGCTTTTGTCGGGACACGACGTGGAACGCTTTTCAGCCTAAAGTATGATCTGCATATTTTAATACATACAAAACAAATCGAAAGGCTCCATAAAGGCTCAAAAATATTGTCTAACACTTAGAGTATAAAGATTTTTCTCGTAAACTATCAATAATTCCTCGATGACTTGAATATTTGCTGTATTAAAAATGCGGTCGGCGTGTAAAGAATTTCCTCTAGATAATTAAGAGTAGTCATGGCTCATTAAAGGTGATACTATATTTTTAAAGCCGTTCAAAAGTAAAATCTACAAAGGAAACAAATGCCAAATTCAAAATTTTAGAAATTCGACTGGAACATCGGCATACATGAAGACCAACAACGCATTTGAGGATGTCATGGCGTTCGCGTGGACGGAATACTGTTTGTTCAATTGCTGTCATTTTCGAAATACGAACTTTGAAAAACACGTTTAGAGGGCTCCAGAAAAAAAACGACCAAACTTTTATCACACAGGCAACAATTTGCAGATTCTCATGTGTTTTATTGCATTCAAGAAAGTTTACTTTCAGCAGAAGTGAGTTTATTTAAAGTTGAAAGCGGTCGTTCTTTTGGGACGATACGAGTTGATGTCAGCACAGGTTAAGCTGTAAATGTTAAAAATGCTTCCTTAACCTCACCAAGGAAATTCTACATGCAGCTCTAAGAAGCTCCAGGAAGCCTTCATTGATCCTGTCTATCTCTTCGCAAAGAGTTTCTAACTCATTCCGCTTCACCACATATTGTCTGAATATGTATTACTCCGGTCGGATGTTCCACTGCATTCACGAGAGAAAAGAAATTCAGAAAATTCACATAATATATGGCAAAAAGCAGTGTTATAATTTTAAAAAACCATAATCTAATGATTACTACATATTGCTACAACCATGAAGCTTCCACGACAGATAGTAAATGGATATTAAACCCTGTGATTTCGACTGCAGATTCAGCTTAACTCAGTTCAACTCTAAGTCGTGTTGGGGAACGAACGCGCTATTATCCTTTCCGGGGAGTAACGCGTTCACCAACACACCATGCGGGTCCTTTGTTTCGCACGTCTCTCAGCTATTTCTATCGATCTTTTTGCCACAGCAATCACCCGTCAGCGGGGTTGATCTGGGGAGCGCAAATCGGCATAGAACCCAGTTAAGCTATGGCTGTAGTTGAAATCACAATAACCTGCCATGAAAATTATAGAAGGCAGAAAACAAAACGTTAAACATTGTGATTTCAACTACAGCCATAGCTTAACTGGGTTCTATGCCGATTTGCGCTCCCCAGATCAACCCCGCTGACGGGTGATTGCTGTGGCAAAAAGATCGATAGAAATAGCTGAGAGACGTGCGAAACAAAGGACCCGCATGGTGTGGTGGTGAACGCGTTACTCCCCGGAAAGGATAATAGCGCGTTCGTTCCCCACCATAGACACCTGCGGTCCAGAGTTTTGCAAATATCTCAGCAACGTTGTGGTTGTATTTCGCTTAGTAACCTGCCATGAAAATTATAGAAGGCAGAAAACAAAACGTTAAACATTCTAATTCGTGTTTCCCAGATCATTCCCGCTCACAAGAATGTTGAGAGTACCGTTAGTGAAAGAAACTGAGAGATAGGCAAACTAAGGCCCTTGGTGGTGCTGTCGTGGGTCCAACACTCGCATGAGGTTCCCAGTTTTACAAATATCGCAGCACCATTATGGTTGTATCCCACAAAATACCTTACTATTAAGAATACGCAGAAAATGAAAGATAAACAATATTGTTGAAATGGTATAAATGTCAGGAATCACACAAAAGCGTGGAGTGAAAGATGCAAAGCGAGAAAGAACGATATGGAAGAGGAATCTTTCACATATAAGAAACGTGTTTATTGATCGTCTTTACATAACATGTCGTAAAATTCAGCAGTTAATTACATAAGTCTTTAGAAGTACGACATCATGGATGCTGTGAGCCACGACAATATGTGTAAGAGAAGACAGCGGAAATATTTCTTACATAAAGAAAAAAAGAAATAAGCAATCGATGCCTACCCCATCGCCTCAATTGGTTGATTTCCTGAACATGCAGGATTCATCGTAAAAGCCTCCGTAGACCGCCGCCGTCGAAGCGCCTCTTCATGAGCGAGTATATCAAAATCGAGCATTGCTTTGTCCACCCAAATAAGGCTTGCATAGTGGATTGCACTCCAGTCACAAGAAAATGGCCAGCAACTAACCTGACATGTGTAGTGCGATAAAGCAAGTAATTCAGCTGATAGAGTTTCATAATGGCCATGACCGTAAGAAGTTATTAGCAACTGAATGTACACCCAAAGCTTTTTACCCGGAAAAAATTATGGTATTGGCAAGTGGAAAAAACAACAACTTCGCCATTTCTACAAAACTTAAAATGTAACTGCGAGTTCAAAAGCACTTTGTAACAGTTTCAACTGAACGTACAAAATTCAGAAAATACGACGGAATCAAAACTAAATTCTTGACTGCTGAGTTGAACCATCAAGCATTCTTTTCTTCTTAAAATAGTGTTGCGTCGGAGAGAGTGAAGTTTTAGAAAAAAACGAAGAAAGTACACAACTCGATTAACTCACTTCAGAGTAAGCCATGGTGAGAACCAAACAGCAATCTATAGGGTTGCACAATGTTTTCTGTAAGGACACAATACCAAATAAAAACTAATCCTTAACGATAAAAAACAGGAATTTAGATCGCCTTACCACAACCAAATGTCTAGGTGTTCTTTCCTCATCACGACCGCTATTTAGAAACGCCTTCACTGAGTAGTAACTGCTCTTTTCAAGCTGTAGAGCTTCGCATAGCACTTCGAACTTACAGTTGCGTCTGTTTCTTTCTGAAAACGCAATGTTACGACTCAAAAAATCATTTAATAGAAGAACGAGAGTGTTTGCGACAACCACAGACCTTCAATAACACCACAAAGTATAGCTAGAACCAATTGTTCTTCAGTCATATTAAATTCACTTCCAAAGTCGACACTTCCTTCTTCTTCGAACCGTTCAGCGACGTCTTTCAAAACACGATGATCAAAACATCGTGTAGGCTGGACCTAAAAAGACAATTTTGGAAGAATAGAACCCTATGTTTTCTGCTCTTTTAGCCCACTGATTCTCACCTTTTGCAGATAATCGTTGTCAATAAACATATCCAAATTAGTCAGGTTTTTTGCGTCCATAAAGGTAAACCAACTGAAACAAGCACTTTCTACCGCAAAAAGTTCTTCGCTATGATTGTGAAGCGAAATCGAAGTTGGCAAACAGCTTAGAACTATCACTAGAAAAATGATGTTGCTATAAGGACAGCTCACCTTAGCAGCTCTTCACATCTTCGTGTAACCATAGACACGTCATCTTCCGCTAGGACGTCCCAATCCGCGCAAGGATCGTTTAGAGCCGACATCGCTGCTTCAGCAGCCATCTGGCCAAGTTCAGCCTTAATACAGACGAGATCGTGAAACTGGGTTGTATTTCTCTGGGTCTGTCATCTTAAAGTACGATAAGTTGTTCCGGAACAAGTATACGACCTTTCATATTCAAACTACATGTGGCAACTTAAAGCTAAGAAGTCACAACACCAAACTTTTTGCTTATTTTTTGCGCAAATTCCTACTGAACTTCCATTACCAAGACAAAAACCGGACGAAACAAATTAGCGTCACTTTACGCAAGAAATGAAATGTGGATGGAAGCCGTACGAACGGCTATCAATACTAGCATTGCGCGTGAACAACCGCTGACAATTCCACAGCATACTTTTGATCAGGAATTCTGACAGACATTTGAGTTTCGAAGCTTAAGATGACCAAAGATGACCCGTTATCACGAACAATGGTAATTCTAAAAACCACTTTTGAAGAAAATCAATGGGGAAGAAGTAAAATTGTTTCGTTTTTATTCGAGTCGTGGCACCCAAACCGAACATAAAAATGAAAAACGTCTTTCTTAGAAAACTTTTTGTGCACTTCAACCAAGCAGCAAAAACTTCTCCTTTCTTAGTCGCTACAAGAAATGGGCTAAAACTGGGTTCTACACGATAAACGACGAAACTCTAAGCCAGATGAGGCACCGAAACAACTCCGGGAGCAGCTGTGGTGGCAGACTGGAGATCATGCGCACTTCTTGTGCTCGTAATATAGTAAAAAACTTTACTTTTCCTTTGTGAACTCTCGTTAAAAAACTCCATTTCGACTTTGTGAAACCGTGGGTAAAATAATTTGCCTTCTACTTTGTGAACCCTGAGTAAAAAACTGTACTTCGACTTTGTTAACCCTGGCGAAATAACTACAGCAAGGAAATCGAAAAACGCGCCAACAACTAAAAACTAGGGTTCCAAATTAAGCCTCGAAAAAGATAAACGCTGTTAAACAACAAGACTGGCAAAACATTGCACTAGAAGCATCGCAAAAGTTGAAGACAGTGTGCGAAACATCTTCGCCATACACACTAGATCTCTCATCAACTGACATTTTTAAGCACCTCCATAACTACTTGCTGAGAAAACTTTCATCTAGATTTAATTTTTATCTTTTTCTTACATCTAATCATATTTATTTTCACTCTCGTGCTCTAATCAATGATACCATGCAATTCGTAGGATGAAAAAACTTTGATCGTGTAAAATGACGCCGAATAAAGCTTGAGAAATGCAACAAAACGTACATATGTTTTAGTCCTCATTCCACTACTCGCCGGCAAGTTGGCCATTGTTCCTGTCTAAATGATCAACTAATCGCTGTTACTACGAAGCAGTATCGAAGATCCTTAAAAATAAACCTCCATTCCAAGGAATGCAGCAAAATATCAAAGGTCTACGAACGTTTTCTTCCCATAGAAGGGAAGTAAGTAATAATTCTCAAGACCAACTTTCTCTTAACATCAGCATTGATTGACAACTCACCATTTTTCTTCGATAAGCAGACACGAGGTTGATATGGTAAAATTAATTAGGATACAATAGCTGTTTCGTCGGCTTCGCCTTCTTCAGAGTCTCGAACGGTCAAATTGACAAGCGATCTAACCAACCTAACTTTCATAACCTTACCAGATAAGGCTTAACATATAAATTTGCATTTACATAATAAACTGCTTCTTTTAAACATCCACCGTAATCAATTGATGGAGAGCGGCAGCAGAGACTAATACATGAGCGTGGAGTGTGCCTGAGTCAGGTCACTGAATCTGCCTGAGGTACGGCGGGAGGTCACGCGTGATAACAAGATACTCCTCCTAGCGGTTCATTTTTCGATTTTTGGATCTAATCCAAAACGCTTCGCGAACTCATGCAATTGTCGTCTCTACCGTTAAGGTAAATTATGTAGTCCTTTCGTTGAAGAAAGACGGTCATATAGGCGGTTACGAACTAGCTGGTGGGTTAGAGTGACCAGTGATATTTCTTTGACTCTTACCGAAATCTCTAGACCTACCCTTCTTAAGCAACGTTTTTAGCTGTATTTCTTTCGTTCGAAATAGGTGCAAAGTAAACGAAACCATGTATTCGCTAGAATTCTCGTTTCGGGGTCTCCTTTTTCCACTATGCCTATGCCGAGAAGCTAGCTTTCGTAGCCATTCGGTATGGCTATTTGGCGCGTCAATTTCGAGGATTCTTCGTTCTGCTCTCTACCTGTGCACACGCTGGTAGCGGTTCGAAACATATTTTTTGTAGCTCACCATATACCGCTCACACACCAAAAGGGCGCTTATAAGGAATATGTTTCGAACCGCCACTAGCGTGTGCACAAGTAGAGAGCAGAAGCAAGAATCGTTGAAAGTGGCGCGTCAAATGGCCATTCCGAGTGGCTACGAAATTGTAGCTTTTCGGGATAGGCATGGAGGAGAAACCACGCCCCTAACCCATAATTCTAACCAGAATAAAGCCCCGTTCATTATGCCCTATAATATTTCCAACTAAATAAGTGCAACTACAAAGTGTTGCTTAAAAAGGGCCAGTTTAGATAATTCGGTAAAAGTGAAAGAAATAGCACCGGACAGTCTAAACTACCAACTAGTTCGTAATCGCCTATGTGAGCGTCTGTGTACAATGAAAAACTGCATACATTGCCGTAATGGCAGAGATCGCGACTGCGTAAGTTCGGGTACGGTGTACCTAATCTATTGTAAAGTGTGTAGGGACGAATACGTTGGCAAAGCGGGTGGACCACACTGCATCCAATTAAGAGAACACCTAATCGCTAAATCTAAATCAAAACCAAACATTCCACTAGGTGCGCACAATACACAGAGATAAAACTGGTATTTCAAAGTGGAAGTCACTATCCTAGCACGGCAATCCAAAAGATCACAGCGAAAACTCCTGAAGCGTTTTGGATTAATTCCAAAAATCTAAAAATGAGCCTTAAGGAGGACTCTCTTGTTATCACGCGTGACTTCGTGCCATACCACAGGCCGATTGAATGACCTGACCTAGGCACAGACCTCGCCCAGCTATTACTCTTTACGGCTGCTTTCCACTAATTAATAAGAACAGCTGCCAAGAATAAAAGGGTGGGTATGCAAAAGAAGCTATTTAATATGCGAATGGAAATTTATACGTTAAGTCCTACCTGGTAAGGTTGCGAAAAGGTTTGGCTGAGTAGATCGCACGTCAGTTCGACCTTTCTTAGCACTGAAGAAGGCGACGAACCGACGTCGGCTGTTGCGTGCTAATAAGTTCTGTAACACCAACATCGTCTTTGTTTGCCGAAGAAAAACAGTGACTGGATGTAATAATTGGCACACATTTACAACAAAAAACGTCAGATAATGGTATAGAAAAAACCGGAACGAACTGAAACAACTGAAATCAACTGAAGCTGAAAATAACGTTTAACTGAAATTCAAAACAGAAACTTAACCGCCTTTTACCGCGCGCAGTCCGCAACTCATTTAATTGACGTCTCCTTGTCGTGAGTTCTTAAAGCGTTCAGGATTCGATTGGATGTGGACTTCTAAAGTAGGTGGATTTCACCTAGGCATAACGATAACTTTAAGAGAAGCTTCTATTTAGTTCGAACAAAGATATCCTTGGGAGTTTACTTTACTAAGTTCACCGACCAGCCTGCCTGATTATGCTGAAACATTTTGAATGGATAATCACCTTACTGGTACTGCAGGCTGAAGCCATAGGTTTACTCCGATCATAATTTCTTTGATGAATGTCATTCATGGAGCCAATGGGAACCTTTCATGCTTTCTGGCAGCGTTTCATAATTGGATACTTGGATACTTGGATGGGCCATCTTCACTAGTTGTGCGAACACAAGCACATTCTCCATTCTCTGGAGATTTGCTGATTTAGACATTGTGGTTTCCTGGAGTCTCGAGAACAGCTTACCCAAAATCTGCCCAGGTCGTCACCACCACAGGGAGTCGTCGCCCTTGTGGATCAGAGGGAAACTTGCCACCATGCGACTAGTTTGATAGCAAGACGGTGGCGGCTTCTGGCATTGATCTACTTTTAGCTGGGCTTCCTGATGGAAACACCATACTCCTCAGCTTGGATGACTCTGCTCGAGGGATGAATCTCCTCGCTATAAATCACTGCCCGACACCCAGGAATACCTCCTAGCCACAATGAGACGGTAAACCGTTGGAAGCGGAGGCGTTTTAGATAAACCATACAGTCACCAACTCTTGCTCGTTAGTTTTGAATTCTACAGACTTAAGATGTTTTCAATGACTTTAGCAAACGAAGTAAACGATGACCCTAAGTTATCAATTTACTTCAAATTGGTGAACAATAACGTATTTTCCCATCAAAGCCTTCGTCCAAAGATCTTCTTGTCGAGTCAGTTGTTTTTCTTTTGTGCCGTTGTCACCCTACTGCGTCCACTCGATCTAATGGCTCTTATCTCTGGCTTAGAAGACATAGCATCTCTGGCCTAGCGGATTTTTGCCATGCGTAAGTGTCTCAGACCTTGGAACGGTAATGTAGGCTGTGGTTCCGGATTTTCCAGGTTGAGCTCACTGGGCTGTCACAAAGGGACTTGGAATACCAACATTTACCTTTTTGATCCTTCTGTAGTATAGATAAAGCTTGCTTGCTGGATGCGACTACGAATCGCTGCCCATGTATATACCACTCATCACTGAAGGTTTTGGGAGCTGGATTGACTTGTAAAATATATTCCACTTACAAGTAATTACATATGTGCACACATGAATACGACGATGTTAAGGCGGAGGTTAGACTTTTTGGCACAACAGGAACAGTAAATCAACTTTCGAAATCTTCTTTCCCCGTGTCTTAGAACAAGCACATAGCCACTTTTTAGCCCGTTATCGGATATTTGCTACCCAATATGGCCTTCCAACTAACTCGCAGGAACTTCACCGAATTCTTGGGCTACTAAGTAGGATAGTTAATATACAAATGTTAACAGCTAGACTGAAATTAGTTCTTCATGAAAAAATCTACGAGCG